GATGATAAATGGATAAAGATTTATAAAGTCATGAATAAAATAAGTTAAAATCATCAAAAACATTTAATTAGTTTATTTAATCACTTTTTGAGATCATAAATTATATTTAAGTAAACTAAGTAGATTATTTAAGATTTTTCATTATTAAAGAAGATTAATATATCAAACTTTTTGGGTTTTTATTATTTGGGAATCTATGAAACCCTATGATTTACTCAAATAAAGAAATTACATTTTACATTTAATTAATATTTAAGAATTAAAGGATGTAAATTGACATTTTCTAAAAAATAAATTTCTTTTACAATTAAATATATTAAAAAAAGATTTAGATAAAGTAAAATAGGTTTGTTCAAGCAAAGAAGGCTGTATTGATCCATATGCAGGTAAAGGTATTTGTAATTTAGAAACTTACACCTAATGTCCAAAAATAGAGTCAAGTAATTGAGATATATTTTCATATTTTCATAGTATCATTTGCTCAAATTTTCTATCTAAAATTTCTAACTTTTAATAAAATAGATCATTATAATGAAAATAATTTATTGCTGAGATTCAATTTAAAGTTTTGCTAAAGACTTATATAATTTTATATTGTAGAAATTCCTGATAATTAAAAAGCACTTATAAATTTCCAAAAGTTCATTAATAGTATTATGATAATATTTATCTTTTCTCTGATAATAAACAGATAGATTTTGAATAATATTGAAATCGAAAAATTGGAATGAGGATATAAAATTATATTCTATTGTAAATCAATTCAATTAATCATTCTATTTATCTTTTTTTTATTATTTAATTATTTATATATTTCTTTGTTTGATTTAAAATATTTAAATTTGAATAAGTATTAAAGATATTGTTTATTACTTTAGTATCCTATTTTAGCTATTAAATGTTTCCATATCACTATTTATTTTATGCAATACCTTCCAAATTTAGCTTTAAAAATAGGATCTGCATTAAGAATCAAAATCGAAGTGTAATAATCCAATAATCTATTTATCATATTTATTTTCAGATTAACATTAATAAGATATTGGAAAAAAACAGAAAGAAATTTTGATCTTAATTCTTGTGATAAATATTGATACGATTTTGCTTTAATAAATCAAATTTCATATCAAGAAAAGCGAATATTTAAAAAAAAAAATTTTTGATATAATCTAATCCATAAGTTATAAAAACAATTAGAATTTTACTTTGATAAAATTTTGTAAAATTCTTTTAATAAATTAATTTATTTAAAGAAAAAATAATTAATTTAATCTAAGAAATATCATAATTAAGAATAAGTTCTAATTAATAAGAAATAATGTATTTAGTAAAAGAAATACCGATATATAATATTTAGACAATTAAAATTTATTTTAAATTCTTTTGTATAATTATACTAATTCTCAATTCTCTCATTTGATTTCTTCTCTTATAGTTTTCTTTATTGAATTTGATGGGGCTAAGAATTCAAAATTACACTCATTCATTCCTATGCACATAAGGGTACGTATAGATTTAGTGGGTTTCAAAGGTTCATGAGGTTAATTTTAGTGGTATTGGAATTTATGATTGTTAATCAGATTCTATTTCCTGATCTAATTGCTATTTTAAATTTTACATAAAAATATTAATAAGCTTTTAGATCAATTAATTCGAATTTGTAGTAAAAATTATTCTATTAATTTCTTTTACTTTTCTTAGCCACATTTATTTAGATAATGACTTTGAAGTATTTAGTATTAAATTTAATAATTTTCAATTACTTTTAATTCTTATTTTCAGAGATTGATCAATTTTTTCCATTTTCTCCTCATTATGTATAAAAACTCTTCATAGATCTAGATGATTTATATTTTATGTAACGTAATTTTTGTTATAAGGATCCTAATTGTATCAATCAGTGTGGCCACTAAGTATGTCAAAATACATTTATGATTCTTAGTAATTAAGAAATGCAAAAATTTGAATTGCACAATCCAAGAATTAGGAAATAAAAATCCTAAAAAAAATAGGTGACTTTTATCTATTATTAATAATAGATTTAAAGAAAAATTGCTTAATCTTTCTAATTCAAAATGCTAAATCATAGAATCAGTATTTGATATTAAAATAAAAGATTAGAATCAAGCAAATGTTACTCAAAAATAGTTTAATTATAACATATCTGCTTTTGATTCAACTATTGATTATTTCCTCTAATTTATTAAAGTAGTATTAGAAAGTTTTATATTTTCAAAGCCAAAAACTCTTAGGATAAATATTTAATTCTCTTTTTTGTTTCCTTTAATTAATAATATTTCTTTTTTTTAATAGATAAATTTTACTTTATTATCCATTTTATGAATTTAATTGAATCAATCTCTTTCTTTACAAAATTCTTAAATTGAATCTTTTTAATTAAATTAAATTAATTATTTGTATTTTATCAAACCATTTATTTAGATTTTAATCTTACTTATTAATTATTAAATATTGATCAAGTTAATTTTGAAAAATTCTAATTTCAAATTATTAAACTCTCAACAATTTATTATTTAAATTTGCAAAATTAATATTATTTTGCTAGAAACTAAATAGTGTCATCCCTTTTTAAATGATTCCAACACTGGTTTATGTTATGATCCGATTTTTCAAAATAATATTTCTAATTTAAAACACCCAATTTTTTCTAATAAATTCTTATTAGAATTGTAAAATCAATTTTCAGCCTCAAGCTCTAACTTTCTTTTTCCTTTTATTTTACTGGGTTTCATCAATTGTTCATTATAATGTATCTTAAATTATTCACAACTCATTTCTTCTATAATTCTAATCCTATTAATACCATTTAATCAAAAAATACATTAATTATTCTAGGCAGTATCATTCTTAAGATTCTATTATATAGCTTTGTCATAGCATTTGATAGCTTCATATTGATTTAGATTGTCTATTTTAATTGTAAACTCCTTTCTTTTATCATACTACTCCTATTAATATGATTTATTAATAAAAATACCTTTGTTGTTATGGGTACCTTCATTCCAATGATTTAAGTATATGGCCATATCACAACATTTACTTCATTCTTCGATTCTTTATAAATACAATATTAAATTAAATGTAAATAATTTGAATTTACCGACTGACCCATACATATTATAGTATCGATATTACTTTTCCAGCTAAATATCTTATCAATTATGTTAAATAGAGACAATGATTTGTCATAAAATTTTAAAGCATACTCATGTTTACCTTCATTTGTTAATTGCATTGCCATTTCTAATAAATTGTCAATTTCTTATTACTTTTTATTCTTATTTTAATTTTATTTTAAGGTTTCCTATAATCCATTTAATTAATTTATTTAATGTAAATTCATTAATTTACTTTAAAAAATAATATATANTATTAAAATAAAAGATTAGAATCAAGCAAATGTTACTCAAAAATAGTTTAATTATAACATATCTGCTTTTGATTCAACTATTGATTATTTCCTCTAATTTATTAAAGTAGTATTAGAAAGTTTTATATTTTCAAAGCCAAAAACTCTTAGGATAAATATTTAATTCTCTTTTTTGTTTCCTTTAATTAATAATATTTCTTTTTTTTAATAGATAAATTTTACTTTATTATCCATTTTATGAATTTAATTGAATCAATCTCTTTCTTTACAAAATTCTTAAATTGAATCTTTTTAATTAAATTAAATTAATTATTTGTATTTTATCAAACCATTTATTTAGATTTTAATCTTACTTATTAATTATTAAATATTGATCAAGTTAATTTTGAAAAATTCTAATTTCAAATTATTAAACTCTCAACAATTTATTATTTAAATTTGCAAAATTAATATTATTTTGCTAGAAACTAAATAGTGTCATCCCTTTTTAAATGATTCCAACACTGGTTTATGTTATGATCCGATTTTTCAAAATAATATTTCTAATTTAAAACACCCAATTTTTTCTAATAAATTCTTATTAGAATTGTAAAATCAATTTTCAGCCTCAAGCTCTAACTTTCTTTTTCCTTTTATTTTACTGGGTTTCATCAATTGTTCATTATAATGTATCTTAAATTATTCACAACTCATTTCTTCTATAATTCTAATCCTATTAATACCATTTAATCAAAAAATACATTAATTATTCTAGGCAGTATCATTCTTAAGATTCTATTATATAGCTTTGTCATAGCATTTGATAGCTTCATATTGATTTAGATTGTCTATTTTAATTGTAAACTCCTTTCTTTTATCATACTACTCCTATTAATATGATTTATTAATAAAAATACCTTTGTTGTTATGGGTACCTTCATTCCAATGATTTAAGTATATGGCCATATCACAACATTTACTTCATTCTTCGATTCTTTATAAATACAATATTAAATTAAATGTAAATAATTTGAATTTACCGACTGACCCATACATATTATAGTATCGATATTACTTTTCCAGCTAAATATCTTATCAATTATGTTAAATAGAGACAATGATTTGTCATAAAATTTTAAAGCATACTCATGTTTACCTTCATTTGTTAATTGCATTGCCATTTCTAATAAATTGTCAATTTCTTATTACTTTTTATTCTTATTTTAATTTTATTTTAAGGTTTCCTATAATCCATTTAATTAATTTATTTAATGTAAATTCATTAATTTACTTTAAAAAATAATATATAAATTCTTAACCTTCTTTTTCTTATTACTCTAATGAATAGTACTATTACAAAATGTTTTAGATTATTTAAATCCTAAGTATTCTTAAGTTATAAGTAACTACCTCAAATGCTTTAAATTTAAAATATTTTCATTCTTTCTTTTAATATTTGATTCAATTTAGATTTTTAATATAATGTCGATGTCATTTGATTCATTAAAGATTTCAATTCTACTTTTTTAAATAATAAAATAATAGTTTAAATATATAATTACATCATACCTATTTACTAATAATATAAGAAGAAAAATTAAGACAGAATGGAATATCTTAGATGATGTAAATCAAAAACATCTTGAGTAATCTATCTTATAATGTAAGAATTTAGCTAAAGTTGATAGAAATAGTTGTTATATGTTGCTATAAATGGAATTAAAAAAATGCTAATGTCATTAGCAAATAAAGGATCACTATATCTGATAAAAAAAATTTAGGATAAAGGGTAGATCATAGAACCTTTGGATCTTTTGGTTCATCTCACATTCATAGATAACATATTCATATAGTATGGATCAAATTTATTAAATTTATTATCATAAATGAAGGTTAATTTGAAAAAACCATTATTTTAAAAATATAAAAAATCAAAAACACTTTTGATTGTTTGTTAATGTAGATGTAAATGGGATGAATTTGAATGGAGCTCTACCTTTTAATTGAAATGGAAAAACATTAAAATTCAGAGTAAGTTAAATAAATTGTATGGTCATGCTGGTACTGTTTATTCAGTATGTATTTCTCCTTATGGTATTAAATTAGCATCTAGTCTGCAGATAACAAAATTTTTTTAAGAGATTTTAAAACAGGATAATAAAATTATTAATTGATAAGTCAATCCGTTATATAGACATTTTGGAATAATATTAAGTTTCTCTATTTTCAAACAATCCTCTTCCAGAAAGTGGTATATATTTCATATCATGATTTAGTCTCCACTAATATTACTATTCTCCTTCATCCAAAAAGGCAATATATTAAGCATAAGGAGCTTTAATTTACAAAGGATAATTTTTGAATCATTCAGGCTTTGATTTAAAAACATTATTTAAATGAAAAGGAAGTTGTATTTTTGGAAGCTAAGTAGAATTTAAATTGCAATGAAAATTTGATTATGTTTATAAAAGCATGTTCTCAGTCTAGTTGATTCTAAAAAGGAACACTTTTTAGTTTAGCAAATTACTTAGATTACTGAAAATTAAGGAAGAGATAAATTAGTGAATATATCTGATGACTACAATATGATTTGCTGGATGAGCATTTGAAGAAACAAAGTCAGGGCTGGTTGAATCAGAATTACTTTTAGTAACATATTAATTTTCAAAATGAATGAGAATAAGGTGTAGTTTTTTTCTTCAGATAGGATTTAGGATAGAAGATCTTATAATTTGTTTTAAGAAATTTGTAGCTAAATTGTAAAATTTTCTGGTAAAAATGAGGAGTTACAAGACTAATTTAATTTAGTTATACAATTATGTATGGTAGATAATTGAGACAAGCAAAAAGAAACTAGTTCATGAGGAGAATAAAGAGGAATAGTTCTAAAGATTAATATAATTAAAATCATGAATTGGAGCTTATTTCTATTGTAAAAAACAAAAAAGAATAAGAGAATTTATGGAATAAATTGAAAGAATTTATGTATTGATCTTAAATTTCAGTAAGAAATTTTAGATTTCAAAAGGAAAAATAATAGAAGTTTCTATATATGTAAAATTCGAGAACAAAGAGTATATTCTTTTGACCAGACATATCAAAGAATAAGTGTTAGGGGAAGAACTAACAAGAACAAAACTCTTAGAGAATAAAGTAATACTAATCAATATGTCGAAAGCATGCAATCTAGTATGCAAATAATTTCTATTTGGCGAAATTATGATAGAACCAAGAAACTTTAGAAGTTTTGTAATAATCCTTAAATAAATGATGATCCATGTTAACTATAATTATTTGATATGTACTATGAGTAAATTATAAGAGAATAAAAATTAATATTTCAGAAATGGTTGATCTAATTCCAAAAAGAAAAAAGATGATTGGAAGATAATTACATTTGACTGATATTCTAGAATATGAAAATGACTTACCAATAAAAATAAGCAAACTTACTATCAAGGGCATTAGGAAGCCTATTGCTTAACGAAAAAATCATATGTGTTTTCTTAGATATTTACACATGAACCCCATTGCAATTTAAATAATTATAAATTATTGGGTCTTATATCACTCATAGAGAAATTTAAATATTTAAGAAAATATTAATTTAGTACTTTGGTAACCTTTATTAAATGTTTAAATTGAAAATAAGCCCTTTAAATATTTTGAAAATTACTTTTATTCACAATTTATTTTATAAAGCATAATCATTATAAAACAATTAGAGTATATTTATTAGCAAACTACTTTAAAGTAAAATTAATATTCATAAATTAATTTTGGCAAAAATATCACTAATAGAAGAATAAATTTGGTTTTGAAAATTTTTCCTTTTTTTAGTAATAATGCTGATTAATATAATAGTTAATGGTTGGGAATTATTAAATCAGAACATCTGCCTGCTTACAGTTTTAAGCATCAAGCAAAATGAAATTAAAATACTTTGTAAAGGCTTTATATCAAAATCAACTAAAAATTAAAATTAAAAAAACATTTCTTTTTTTATATATGATTATTTAGTTATAAAATTTTATGAATAGACTAATTTGATTTAATTTTCTTAAAGAAATGAGATTATTACATATATAATTTTCACTCATAATTGTTTTTAACAAATTCATTAATTAAATGATATAACCAATTAATAGTATAAGGGTTTGAATTTCTTATGGTTTTTTTTTTCATTAGTAAAAAGTTTTTAAATTTAATAATTATTCCACAGACTTTTAAGAAAAACCTGGAAGTGATTTCTTCTGATTTTATTGAATTAAATAATAATTGAAAATCAATTTTTTATAAAAAAATTACAGATTATACAAAATTCAATTCTTTGCCAATCAAAAGTTAAAAATTTAATTTTGAATTTAACTTTATAAAAGCTCACAAAGTGGATTTGAAATAATTCTTGACGATCAAGAACGCAATCGATGGAGCTTACATTTACTTTCAAGCTGTTAAGAGCCCTACCAGTGTTGAAAGACAAATCAGCAATCGCTTCTTAATTTAAAATGTATAATTTAACTGATTTTTTGTTTAGAACATAGGTTTGGAGACTATATGATAACCTGATTGATTTCACCAATTTTCTCCCAATTTATAATAATCATTTGTATGAGCAAAAGAAAAAAGGAGCATTAAACAATTATTAATTGAAAATTCAAACATTACTAGGCAGATTAAATTATTTTAAAAATAAGTATAAAATAATTCTATCAATAGATCTTGAATAAATTTTTGGTGATAAATAATAGTATCAAGGTTATACTTACTTAATATAATACTAATATAAACCAAAGAATTTACAAGAATAGGATAAATGTTAATGGAGCAAAATAAAAATTGAAATTCTTGACCAATTAAATTTATTTTTGAAAAATCCAAAAAATACTTTTGAGAACAAAAGTAAAAATTTATGGAAATGTGAAATAAAATTATGTGGATGCATGAAAAAATTTGAAGTAATAAAACTTAATTGCATGCTTAGTAAACAATTAAACGTTAGGTTTCTGCAATAAAATTAGAAATTGGAAAAATAATTCAGAAAAAAATTGTAAAGGAAACAATATCAGAATTTTGGATAATCGATTCTTCTATCAAATGTATAAGAACATTATTAAATTTGATTTAATAGCCAAAATATCATCCAGATGAAAAATCTTTTCTAACCTTCTATAAATATCTTATAGCCTTGACAATTATTTGTATTTTGTTTAAATTAAGAAAACATAGATAATTTATTTATATCTTGATGTAGGGCAATTTTATTTATTTTTTAACTCAAGATAAGCATTAAAAGAAATTAACTTTCAATTAGTGGGAGTTAAATTAAATAAGGTTCAAATTTATTGAAATAAATAGATCATACTCAATGATAATTTCCCTTTTTAATAAATTTTGTATTTCTAATGAGATTTTTACAACAGAAGTTTAGGGTATACTAATATGATTTTAGCTCAAAGCACAATTTAAATTATGTCAAACAGACCTTTTGCTCAAGATGACTGCTACTTGTACATAGCAGAAACAGTGTGGCAATATGGATGTGTTTGCTTGATAAAAATTTTAACTTCAAATTAAAATATTTAACCCTTAATTAATACTTGAGATCGATTGAAATAAATCATTTTTCAATTTTGAAATCTAAAAATATAAAATAAATAATAAGTTACCTTTCCCTTTCTCAATTACTTTAAATTTATGATAGAAATCACATCAATATTATACAGCCAATTTAATTTATTGTGCTAAAATTGGTAATTAAATTAAATATAAATGATTTTCTTTAATACCAACAGCTGTTTAATTAATAATACTTAATAGCTAGCAATTAATGATTCAAGAAATTAAAAATTATACATCAAAAACCATTCAATAACTCAAATAATATTTATAATTGTCATATTTTTTATCATTATTGATTTTATTAGATTCTTTTTTGATGGAATGTAAAAACTTCTTCTTTTGTGGTGAAAATATCACCAGATGCAAATAACACTTTTTTAATATAAATTGAAAGTTAATAGACAATTCTTATTAAAGCATAAGTACTGTTCAAAATGAAATGCTATTTGATAAACTGAATAAATTTATAGGTCTAACATTTTTCTTATGCTTGATAGAATAAATCATTAACACCTTATATCTTTCAATCTAATAATGATTCTTAATGTTAAGAAGCACTTATGATTTCAGTAATCTCCAAAACAAACTTCTTTATTGAATATAGTTTTAAAGAAATGTTATAAAACAACCGATTAAATTAGATACTCATTTAAGTACATAATATAATAAGTTTGAGAATAAAATTAAAATCTATTAAAATTAAACCTTCATGTAGTTGAATTATATATTTGAATTTTTGGTCTACCAATTTACTTAGGTACATGTGGATAGCATTGAATATTAAAAAGAACCAACAATATTTTTGTTCTTCTTTGAATGATGAAAAATAAAATCAAATAGCAGCCTTAATTTCTACACAATATTCCCTGAATAGTTATACTCAAATCAATACCAATTAGTTGTTACCATTGAAATAAAAAATTATGCAATAGTAGTTACAATTAATTTTATCAATTGTTATTAGAAATATTATATGTTAAATTTGCTTGCAATAGTAGATGGTTGAACAAAAATTTTGCATTTGATTTATGAAAGGATAAATATATTTATTATTTTTGAATATTTACATTAGTCCTTATAATTGTATCTCTACACTTCTCTGGAGAAATGGGCTCTTTTCTTATCCTAAAATTCTATAAATATGTATTATTTTCTTAACTTCTTATTTTATTTAGTAGCACCATTTTTAACTTTCTTCTATATTTAAACATTGAGATGAAAAAAAAGAACCTTTAAATTAGACTAAAGGAAAATTAAAAAGTATACGGAATGGCGATGATTCAAATGGTTTTCTTGATTAAAATTAAATTTAGAAGTGCACACTTATAAATATCTATCTCATTAAATGAAGATAATTATATTATAAAAAAAAAATCAATAATTTACAATTTGTCTTTAAATGATTTCTATGGAAGAATGAAAATATACTATTCGAATAATAATTGCAAAAAATTACATACTTTAAATGTTCTTTCCTGTATTCTATATATGGTTAGATCCGACTTAAGATAGTTGTATTTTCCATCTTTCATTTCTAATCATTTTATGTATCTTTAAAGTTGTTAAGTGTGATTTATAATTTTCAACTTATTACTAGTATGAAATAGTTGAAAGATATACAACATATTCATCAAAAGTTATAAAATTTTTAATTATTGAATAAAAAATATGCTTTAAAAATAAAAAATTGATTTTATTATGACAAAATAGAAGCAAGAACATAATAAAAATTCTCTCTATATTTTAGACATTATTATATATACAACAGATTCTTTTTCCAAGAGAAGACTCTTTAAGTTTAGTTTAACATATAAACCACACCACTATTCTCTTGATTCTAAGAATCCTACAAGAAAATGAATTTTTTTCTTTTTTTGGCTAAATATTCTAATCCTATGCTTGATGATTAAATCCCCTTAAAGGAATAGAGCTCCTTATACTTGAAATATTGGTGTTTTGTATATAAGCAGTATTGCCGTAAAATTTTTACTTAAATTTATAAAAAAAGATACCACAAAAAAATTTTTAAATTGGATAATGTTATTGTATTGTAATATTACATTTTTCGAATTAAATCTTGTTTTATTCTTTGTAGATTTCCTCGAAATATCCTCTTAATGATATTTATTCCTAATTCCTTATTAAAATTGAGCAATTCGTTGAATTATTTAAGATTGTCAAATTTTGAAAGGAACCCGATACTATACGAAATTTTTTCTTTTCCTAACATTTAACTGATCAAGCAATATATTTTTTCATCAATTTCTGTAACTTAAGTGAAAATCTTTGATAGATTTTAGTTCTAGGGTTAGATAAATTCATTCTCTTTTTTGAAAACATTTAATATTTTATTTATTATGAATAAATAAAAAAATATATTATTTATTTAGAAAGGATTAAACTTTGTGAAGATTTGTAATTAATATTAATTGAGGTAAAGCCTGCTTGTAAGAAATAAATTCTGTGTTTGTAATACTTTAATCTTTAATATATATAGAATATACCAGATAAATAAAAAATTGAGATTATTAATAATTATTTTAACAAATGTGTAGATATTAATTGTGGATCATCTGATATTCTGACCTACATTCTTAAAAATAGTAATTTTATAGAAAAATTTCAGAGATCACAATATTCTTGTATAACTTTACATTTTTGAGCGAAAAAAAATTTATAAATATAAGTTAATTCAAAATTTGATTGCTTAATTTAATTTTGATTAATTAAAAAAAAAAAAACAGGCTTAAATCCTGGTAATAAATTAAGAAAAAGTCAAATAATTATTTTATATTTTGTATTTATATTTGTAATGTTATTTAAAATAATCAAATATTCAATTATATTGTAACTCTGCAAAGTTATCCAAAATTAAACTTCCTAATTGTTTAAATAATGCTTTTAAATCAATTCCTAATT